CGCGTGTTACCATGAGTTACCCTCAAAGGATGATGCGGCCCACTCCACTCACTGGTGGCTTCTCCCCGGCCTTAAGGGCTGAATTTAAGAGAAAAGGAGAAGGGCTGGTGGGCACAGTGGACTATAATAATGATACGGATTAAGCAGCTCTTGCATAGGATCCCTGAGTACCGCGGGGTGTGACCCAAAAACAAAAAAAAAAAAAAAAGAAACTCATACACCTAAAAATGTATTTCTCCTTCCTGCTTTGATGAGCGCCTCGACTCTCATGCCGAATGGAGACAGTCACTGGCCTCGTGTCTCCTTATGGCTGTGGACAAGGCTAGTCAGACTGAAACCTGGAATATTGTTATAAGCCCCTGCGGTCCCCCCAGCTCCTCAACACTCACAGCCCTTCACAGGCCCCCAAGGCCAAGGTCACCAACCCTCATAAACAACAAAATGCCGGTGGGGCCAGTGGAGGACACACGAACGGCTCCTCTGGTGTCCAGAACACTCAGTAGTAGGAGCTGGAAAGTGGGAACAGAGTCCACACCAACTCTCCTCTTCTTCTACAGTTGTCTCTAGGTCAAGACCATCTCCAGAGGAGGAAGCAGGAAGTGAAGCCAGAACCAAGGAGGAACAGCACTGTTCTGAGTGCACTAGGGAGAGCTCATTAGTCCTCACAGTCCATAAGCATAGAGCCTGAGGAGAGAGAGAGAGAGAGAGAGAGAGAGAGAGAGAGAGAGAGAGAGAGAGAGAGAGAGAGAGAAAGTGACCCCTTAGCACAAAGCAGGAGAAAGTCCTGAGCCTTGCCAGACGTCCCTGGAAAGAAGAGAAAGTGGGAGGAAGGGAGGGAGGGAGGGAGGGAGGGAGGGAGGGAGGGAGAGTGGGAGGGAGGGAGGGAGAGAGGGAGGTGGGCGGGACAAATGAAGGAAGGGAGAAATGAAGGAAGGAAGGAAGGAAGGAAGGAAGGAAGGAGGGAAGAAAGGAAGAAAAGGAAAAAAGGAAGGAGGAAGAAAGGAGGGAGAAAGGGAAGGAGTAGGGGAGAGAGAAAGAGAGGGAGGGAGAGAGGAAAAGGAGAAAGGAAGGGAGAGGGAAAGGACAGGGAGGACCTGCCTATAATACTTAGGAACCTTGCTTCTCATACTAAAGAATAAGATGGCTAAGAACTTATATAATTGACTTCGATGAAATACTTAGTATTTTGGGGATGAAGCAATTATACATTTGATAGGGTAATTGCCTTGCATGCAACCAAATCATTTTCGTTCCCAGCACCACATATTAGCCCCCTGAGCCCACCAGGAGTCATCTCTGAGCACCACCCGGTGTGGTCCAGAAAACAGAAGGAAGGCAGGATGGGAGGATGGGAGGGAGAGGCCAGAGTGATGGTATCACAAGGAGGACACTTGTGTCGCACACACCTGACCAAAGTTCAATCGCCAGCACCCTAAGTATCCCCTGAGTTCTGTCCGGAGTGGTCACCGAGCACAGAGTCAAGAGTAAGCCCTAAACACTACCTAGTTTGACTCTAAGCCCCTAGAGAAAGTTTGGCTACAGATAACCCTAATTGTTAGCGTTTGTTTGTTTCTTTCTTTCTTTCTTTCTTTCTTTCTTTCTTTGTTTTGCTTTTGGGTCACACCCTGCATTACACAGGAGCTACTCCTGGTTCATGCACTCAGGAATTACTCCTGGCGGTGCTCAGGGGACCATATGGGATGCTGGGAATCGAACCCAGGTCGGCCACTTGCCAGGCAAATGCCCTGCCCACTGTGCTATCGCTCCAGCCCCTAATTGTCAGCATTTTCTATTCATGTGAATGCACACCCACTGTCCCTAGGAGGACACCAAGGCACAGAGAGGATTTCTCTGACACGGAAAAAGGCCCCTCCTACAGGTGGAGTCTGCTGAAGAAGTCAGGGTGTTCGAGGACCTTTGATGGACACCCCCACTCCACCCTCCTCTCATGGCACCGAGACCCAGGGGTGATGCCTGCCCTTTATCTCCCTTACGGGCTCCCTCAGGAACCATGTCTTCCTTGTTCAAGAGGGACACCACGAGCCTGGTCAGAGAGCTGGGCAGGAAGGGTGAGCTGGTGCCTGTGGACAGCCTGACCAGCGCCCCTCGCCTACGCCCCTTCTGCCTGGTGAGGAAGAAGCACAGACGCCACCCCTGGCCTTGGGACACCCCGGTCATCCCCACAGAGTACTCACTCATGGACGTGCTGGAGCCCGGCTCCCCGGACCCAGGTACCTTTGGAGGGACTGTGGGTGGCGGAGGGCAGGGGCGCTACTGAGGACAGCTGAGGGGAGATGATGCCCGTGACCTAACAAGCAGATGCCCGCTGGGCAGGCATGCAGAAGCTCATGGGCAGAGAAGATCCTGGACACCTTCTCCCACAATGTGGGGTGATGGGAAGGGAAGCCAATGTCCTCCTCTGGTTCTGAGCAGACAGCAGTGACAATGGTCATTTCATAGAGCAGCAGTGGCTGACATGGGTGGGGGTCAGCTGCATGTCTTTGCTTCTATCCTGGCAGCCACCAGGAGGAGGAGGCCGCATCTCTCTTCTGTACCTTGGTTCCCTTCCACAAATGGGGAGTTAGGGGCTGGAGAGACAGTGCAGCGGGTAAGAGCTTTCCTTGCACATCGACCACATCTGTTCGATCCCCAACTTTGCATACGGTTCCACAAGCACTGTCAGGAGTGAATCCTGAGCACCACCAGGTGGAACAGAGATGAGTGGGTCGGGGAGGGCCTTTTCTTCTGAGGTCCACCTGGGTCCTTCCAGCCTGGATTAGGAAGGGCAGGAAGGGGAAGGCAGGAGAGAAAAGTGAGGAGTGGGGAGCTGGGAGCCTGCTCTTACCAGCAGATATAGGACCTAGGGAAGAAAGCATGGGCAGGTCAGAGTGATGCGAGGAAGGACACAGGTGCCATGGACTGAGGAAGGGACCTTGGGCATGGCAAGGAGCAGTTTCTTGGTGCTGCTCATGGTTGTCAGAAAGGATATGAGCTCAACAGCTAGAAATCAAAGCTGGACCGATAGCAGAGCGGGTAGGGCATTTGCCTTGCACGCCATCGACTTGGGTTTGATTCCCAGAATCCCATATGGTCCCCCAAGCACCGCCAGGAGTAATTCTTGAATGCATGAACCAAGAGTGACCTCTGGCATCGCTGTCCTTTTTATTCCATACACTGGGGGAAATCACATTCTTTTTTTTTTCAATTGTGGCGGTGATAACAGCTGCACACACTCACAAAATTGTACATCAATGTTGAATCAGAGTTGATAGAAAATATTTTTCAAATTTTATTTCATTTTTACAAGTATGCCAACTTAAAATTGATACCAAGAATAATTCAGTACGAATCTATTTAAAATTTTACATAAGTAAAATCTTCAAATGTAAAAGAGCGAAGAGAATTGAGCAAGTTCCAAGGGTATAGCATTCAATGAGTTTATCCATATTCCAGCTTGACAATTTAGAGCTGTTCATAATCTTTTACAAATGATCTTTTTTATTTATAAGAAGCCTGTTATGATTTCTCCCTGCGACTCAGTTAAAATTTTGTTCAGCATCTAAGTATTAGAGCTTTCCCCCCATGTTCTTACTATGGTTAATTTCAACATTCATAGCACTGTGGTCTGAAAAGATGTTTGATAAATTTCTAAGTTTTTGACATTAGGAGCCCTTGTACAGCAGTCCTTGGACTGCTCTGAAGAATGTTCCATGTGTGCTAGAGAAGAATATGCGTTCAGCTTTGTGAAGCTTGAATATGTTCCTTTTGCTGTCATTGTCCATGACTCCCAGCTCTTGAGATTCCTTGCTCTGGGGTTCTTGTTTCTTTACACTCTGTCTGGTTGATCTGTTCAATGGTGAGAGTAGGGTGTAGGAAGTCTCCCCCTGTTGTTGTGTCACAATCCAGGTGCTTTTTTAGTTCTCTAAGGACTAACTTTGCTGCCCCTTCATTTAGTGCCCCTCTATTGATGGGCAGTAGGGCTTTCTGTTTTACTAGATTTTTAACCGTACATAACACCATTCATTTTTCTTATTACTTTGTTTAGCTGGAGCGATAGCACAGCGGTAGGGCGTTCGCCTTACAAGTGGCCAACATGGCTGACCCGAGTTCGATTCCCCCGCCCCTCTCGGAGAGCCCGGCAAGCTACCGAGAGTATTCGATATGCCAGACACAGTAACAACAAAGTCTCCAATGGAGACGTTACTGGGCCCGCTCGAGCAAATCGACGATCAACGGGAGGGCCTTTGTTTAGCACCAAGGCACTGGAGCACCTGTGATTTTGAACGTTTGGTGGCCTAACTGCACTCCCCCTTCCCCTTCATGGCATGTTTTCTACAATGGGACAGTCCTTCTAGCCTTTGTTTTCATGTTTTGGGGTCAGGAATAATTTTAAATTATATAGCCTACACATAAATTTTCCTATATTAACATTTATGATGTTACCGATACCCTTCTGTGGTCATCATCATCACGTTTTGATCAACCTACTTTATTTTTTATACACTTTTAAAGCAAGTTAATGACACTTCACTTCACTCACTTGAGTACACTCCAGTGAAAATGATTCAAAATGTATATCATTGACGACCATTTGATTTTCATTTATACTATTTGTCACTGTCACTGTTACTGTCCTCCCATTGTTCATTGATTTGCTCGAGTGTGCCCAGTAATGTCTCCATTTTTGAGACTTGTTGTTACTGTGTTTGGCATATTGAATACGTCACGGGTAGCGTGCCAGGCTTTGCAGCGAGGGCAAGATACCCTCGGTAGCTTCCTGGGCTCTATGCAACATTTAAATTTGATGAAAAATTTTTTCCTTAGCATACTATTTCACAAGTTCCACCACAGCACTTATGCATAAACAATCCCCCAAGTCTTTGTTGATTCCCACCAGGAAAGACAGGTTACTTGAATTCCCCAAAGAACATCAGAGCCTATAAAAGTAGTCCCCACCCTCCCTGAACTGAATCATCGCCCACCCCCAACCCAAGGAGAATTTAAGCCACAGCCAGCTGCTGAAGCAGTGAGAGGCATCCATACAGGGCTGACAGTGGCATCTTGGCTTCCAGATCCCAGGCTGACCTATTGCTATTTAGGTCAATCTTTAGGCCACACTCCTCCAGCAGTTTGTAGGTGACAGCCACACCCTCATCCTGCAGTGGGGTAAGAAGCTCTGGTTTAAGGGTGAAAGGAATTCTCCAAGGGTATTTGAAGTTGGGCTCCAAGATACTCCTTACCTGAAAGAAACAGTATTTAGAGTGAGCCTTTGGGTTTGGGGAAAGAAAGTCTTCTGTCACAAGGCTATGTAAAGGAAAGAGGTAAAATCCTGTGTGCATCATGGGATGCATCAATCCTGACTGTGTCATTGAGCATGGGCTACTAAATAATGAAACTAGCACTTATCTTGCATTTTTTCAATATCTTGAAGATATGTATAATATGTGCAATTTAAATAATGTATATACTTACACATATGTAAGAATATACTTGTATATAAAAAAAAGAGGCCCTCCCGTTGATCATCGATTTGCTCGAGCGGGCCCAGTAACGTCTCCATTGGAGACTTTGTTGTTACTGTGTCTGGCATATCGAATACTCTCGGTAGCTTGCCGGGCTCTTCGAGAGGGGAGGAGGAATCGAACTCTGGTCGGCCATGTTGGCTGCATGCAAGGCAGATGCCCTACCCGCTGTGCTATCGCTCCAGCCCATACTTGTATATAAAGTATGAAAAAGAAATTTACAAATTATTAATTCCATAACTAAAGCCAGGTTTAACTCAGATCCTCTGAGTTCTAGAACTCTCCATCCTTGTGTGGATATTTTAGAATTGTGGTTCTTGGCATGAAAACTGAGACCCTCTAAGGTAGGCTCATACCCATTTGGCCTGCTCTCTGGAGGAAAATGAGTCAGGAATTTCTAGGGACCACATAGGATGGATTCTGCTCTATGCACAAAACCTGAGTGATTTCTCCTCAGATTTCTTCTTACCCCAGGTGCCCTCCCTCCCCTCCCAGATTGCTGCTTCTTGAAGATTTCTCACCAGCTCCCGCTGATGGACCAGGATTTTCTCCTTCATGGACCATGCCAGCAGATACAGTTGGGTGTCGTTGAGCACTGAGAGCAATGAGACATGGGGAAAGAGTGAGGAATATGTCTTCACCCCTACTGTGAACAAAGATCATCTTTGAGAGGGAAACTTTCACTGGCAAAGGAACAAAAGCCTTTTGATTTGAAGATCAAATTTCTTTCTTTTTTTTTTTTTTGCATTTGTGTCACACCCAGTGCTGCACAGGGTTTACTACTGGCTCTGCACTCAGTAATTACTCCTGGCAGTGGTCAGGGGACCATATGGGATGCGGAGAATGAAACCTGCGTTGGTCACATGCAAAGCAAAGGCCCTACCCACTGTGCTATCTCTCCAGCCCCTGAAGAGCAAATTTCTGACCATAGGATGTTGTCTTTCTTCTCTTGGAATGATCTCCAAGAGCAACAAAACATTGTCCAGAGTCCGGAGTTCTTAACCAGAAACTTAAGCACCCAATCAATAATCAGATGAATGAAATTGGGCTACTGCTTCTTAGACTCGGGCTTTATGTTAAATGATTAATTTATAGAGTGAGCCCTTGAGTATGATCATGGTCCTCCCGTTGTTCATCGATTTGCTGGAGCGGGCCCAGTAACGTCTCCATCATGAGACTTGTTGTTACTGTGTTTGGCATATTGAATACGCCACGGGTAGCTTGCCAGGCTCTGCCCTGCGGGCGAGATACTTTCGGTAGCTTGCCGGGCTCTCTGGGAGGGGCAGAGGAATAGCACTCGGGTCGGCCATGTTGGCCGCTTGTAAGGCAAACGCCCTACCGCTGTGCTATCGCTCCAGCCCTTGAGTACGATGTGATGAAAAAATAAAGTCATAGTATTTTAAGGACCTTGAACAGATAACGTCTAAAATCTTCCTTTTTGGCTGGAGTGAGAGTACAGAGTTTGCTTTGTATGCAGCCAATCAGTTCAATTCCCGGCTTCTCATATGGCCTCCTGAACCCGCCAGCAGTAATTCTTGAGTGCACAGCCAGAAATAAGCCCTGAGTATGGCTTAATGTGGACCAAAAACAAAAAATAAACAAAAAAAATTAATGAAATACTCCTTTTACTAGAGTACCACATGCTTTGCATGCAGAAGGCCCATTTCTAACCCTTCCTCACATGTCCATTGAGCACTGATACAGGAGTATAACCTTTGTACATATCACCAGGTGTCACCCCAAAGCAAAAAAATTAAGTCTCCCTTTCAGGGAGTCTGCTGTTGGTGGTAGGGGCTGCTTACAAAACTCTGACTCTTCCATTCAATTTCCCAACTCATTCTTACCCAGCAAGGCTTCAAGGAGATAAAGGATGCAGGATCGTGCATAAACCAATAAATTTTCTGAGTTCTTTCTCAGTTCATTTAGAATGATTCCACCAGGGCCATTCAAATCACCCTGGGGAAACTGTTCCATCTGCGGAAAACAATATTTTTGTTGTTAATAATAATAATAATAGCAACCAATATTATTGTTGTCAATAATAGCAATTAATAATATTGGTAGCAATGATATTTTTATCAATAATAATTATTGTAGAATAAAAACAATATTCTGCTTCTGTCTTATGAGTATGTAATTGCTCCACTAAGAAATGGGGGCATGGAGGGCTCCACCTCCTCTGGGAGATTCCAATCAGTCTTAAGATATAAAGATACTAGCACTGTAGCACTGTCCTCCCATTGCGCATCAGTTTGCTTGAGCAGGCACCAGTAACATCTCCATTGTGAGACTTGTTGTTACTGTTTTTGGCATATTGAATACACCACGGGGAGTTTGCCAGGCTCTGCCGTGCAAGCGAGATACTCTCAGTACCTTGCCCTGCTCTCTGAGAGGAACAGAGGAAGATACTAGTAGCCCTCGTTATTTTGCCTGGGACAAGAGCACAAATTATTAATTACTGGCATCTTTCTCATATTCCTTGCATCATCCCTTTTATCTAAGTATGAGAATATTTAAGTCTGCCAGATTTATAGGTTCCATTCAAAGTGACCATGGAATGTACTCACCATGTCCTGCAGGTCCTGAAGAGCCTCTCGATCCCCAAGCATGACCAAAATATTATGGAATAAAATATCCTGAATATTCTTTGAAAATTGGGATAGTTCTCCCATTCTTCTGGAAATCTCAACTTGTAGTTGCTTAAAATCTGATCTCAGAAATCAACATTAACCAGAAAAATAGTACAACTCATTAATTAGAGTCTGCCTATGATGATATGTCCTGCTCCTTTAGTATGAGGTAGACACTTTTATTTGTTTCCACTGATGACCAAACCTATCTCTGCAGTTGAGCTCCAGGATGGAGAAATCAAATAAGTTAGATAGATGTAGATAACAAGCTAAAAGTGGCGAAGAGAATAGAGAACAGAGATGGACATTCTGAAAAAAAATTATTGGAAGTTGAGAAGAATTGATTAGAAACATGTCTGAAATAATGGGAATTCTGTCTTTGGACTAGAGTCTTAGATGTTCTTAGGAACTCGGGTGCACACTTTCCACATCAATGAAGTGAGGATTTAATTGTCTGAAAACCTTGGAATAAAACATGGTACACATGAGCTCATCCACTTCTTCCTGTATTGTCTATCTTCTTACTGATTAATCAATTAGGTGTTGCCTCCTGTCTGGGGTATCCTCAAAAGACCTGATGAACTTGAATGCTACAGAGACATATGCTAAGTGAAATTAATTAGAAGAGAAAGGACATGAAGCAAGATATGAGGGAAAGGACAAATACTAGACCATTTCACTCATCAATGGTATACAGAGAAATAAAACAAGGGAATAGACACTACCAAATGATAACCAACCATGGCCCTGTATTACAGAACTGAGAATATTAAGTGAAAAAGGGAGAAGAGCAATGAAAAGGTGGATTAGCTAAAAGTAGAACATTGATGTGTCTTGGGCACCTTAGTGGTATGAGATGAGGTATTTGTATAAAGCAAAACCACAAATTCTAACACTACTGCAAACAAATGACCTAAACAATAATTAAACAAAATTGGTTAATGCTTTAATACTTTATAAAGTTTATCTGATGAGAGTGAGGGGAAGCTTGAAAGGGAATCCCTTTTGACACTCACCTTGACTCAAAGGTTCCTCTATTTGTTCTGGAAAGAGAATAAACGTGAGCATGTCTCTCTTCATCCATAAATGTGCTTTTGATTCTCCAAGGGTTCTGGACTAGTACCATGTTCTTCCTACACCTGGCCTTCTCTTCAATACCCATCCCATTCTATATCCTCCACCTCCTAAGACCTCACAGAAACTTTCCATCTACAGAAATTAGGGTCAGACCCTAGGGTAGTGGTTACAAAGGCAAAGACAACTTCCTCCTCAACAGATATGTATAGAAAAGGATCCCACCACATCAAATACACACTCACGTATTGGCAGAATCTCACTTCTATCCTCTAAAAAGAGAAATTAAAATCACAATTCAGTATGAGACACTCAATTTCTCAGATGTTCTGCTCTCAACTACCCTAAACCACTTCCATCAATCCACCCTGCCTGTCTTTACCCAGAGGCCCGGAATTCAAAGTCTTATATATAAAGACAACAAAGGTCACTAGGTAGGTTTTCCGAAGTTCCCTGTAAACAATGTTTTATGGTAGAGGAAAGGACAACTACCTGCTCAGCAATATGTACAGAAAAGGATCCCACCCCATCAAATATACACTCACTCGTTTGCAGAAACTCCATTGATTCACCTAAAAAGAGAAATTAAATTCACAATTCAGTATGAGGCACTCAAATTCTCAGATGTTCTCCTCTCAACTTCCCTAAACCACTTCCATCAATCCACCCTGCCTGTCTTTACCCAGAGGCCCGGAATTCAAAGTCCTATATATAAAGACAACAAAGGTCACTAGGTAGGTTTTCAGAAGTTCCCTGTAAACAATGTGACATGGTAGTGGCAGGGACAACTTCCTGCTCCATATTATGTGCAGAAAAGGATCCCACCCCATCAAATATACACTCACATTTCGGCTCATACATAGTGGTAAGACCTAAAAAGAGAAATTAAATTCACAATTCAGTATGAGGCACTCAATCACTCAGATGTTCTGCTCTCAACTTCCCTAAACCACTTCCATCAATCCACCCTTGCCTGTCTTTACCCAGAGGCCTGGAATTCAAAGTCTTATATATAAAGACAACCAAGAAAGGAAGGAAGGAAGGTTTTCCGAAGTTCCCTGTAAACAATATGACATGGTAGTGGCAGGGACAACTTCGTGCTCAGCAATATGTGCAGAAAAGGATCCCACCCCATCAAATATACACTCACATTCCGACTCATACATAGTGGTAAGACCTAAAAAGAGAAATTAAATTCACAATTCAGTATGAGGCACTCAATCACTCAGATGTTCTGCTCTCAACTTCCCTAAACCACTTCCATCAATCCACCCTGCCTGTCTTTACCCAGAGGCCCGGAATTCAAAGACTTATATATAAAGACAACAAATGTCACTAGGTAGGTTTTCCGAAGTTCCCTGTAAAAAATGTGACATGGTAGTGGCAGGGACAACTTCCTGCTCCACAATATGTGCAGAAAAGGATCCCACCCCATCAAATATACACTCACATTCCGACTCATACATAGTGGTAAGACCTAAAAAGAGAAATTAAATTCACAATTCAGTATGAGGCACTCAATCACTCAGATGTTCTGCTCTCAACTTCCCTAAACCACTTCCATCAATCCACCCTGCCTGTCTTTACCCAGAGGCCCGGAATTCAAAGACTTATATATAAAGACAACAAAGGTCACTAGGTAGGTTTTCCTAAGTTCCCTGTAAACAATGTGACATGGTAGAGGCAGGGACAACTTCCTGGTCCACAATATGGTGCAGAAAAGGATCCCACCCCATCAAATATACACTCACGTTGCATCTTGTACATACTTCTATCACCTAAAAAGAGAAATTAAATTCACAATTCAGTATGAGGCACTTAATTTCTCAGATGTTCTGCTCTCAACTTCCCTAAACCACTTCCATCAATCTACCCTGCCTGTCTTTACCCAGAGGCCGGAATTCAAAGTCTTATATATAAAGACAACAAAGGTCACTAGGTAGGTTTTCAGAAGCTCCCTGTAAACAATGTGACATGGTAGAGGCAGGGACAACTTCCTGGTCCACAATATGGTGCAGAAAAGGATCCCACCCCATCAAATATACACTCACTTTGCATCTTGTACATACTTCTATCACCTAAAAAGAGAAATTAAATTCACAATTCAGTATGAGGCACTTAATTTCTCAGATGTTCTGCTCTCAACTTCCCTAAACCACTTCCATCAATCCACCCTGCCTGTCTTTACCCAGAGGCCGGAATTCAAAGTCTTATATATAAAGACAACAAAGGTCACTAGGTAGGTTTTCCTAAGTTCCCTGTAAACAATGTGACATGGTAGAGGCGGGGACCACTTCCTGGTTCACAATATGTTCAGAAAAGGATCCCAACCCATCTAATACACACTCTCGCATTGGCAGAATCTCACCTATATAACCTAAAAAAGAGAAATTAAATTCAGTCCAATAGAAGGTACTAAAGACATCCAGTTTCTCAGATCTTCTACTGTCAACTTCCCCAAGCCCCTTCTTTCAATCCGCCCTGCCTTTCTTTACCCAGATACCTGTACTTCAAAGTCTCGCAAGAAGACAGTGAAGGCCACTAGGTATAGTTTTGTAGTGCTCTGTAGGCAGTGTGACATGGTAGAGGAATCCCATTTCATCTTCACAGCTTAAAATTAACAACAACAACAACAACAAAAAGAATCTTACCAATGATGTTAGGCATTACCACTGAAAAGAGAAATAAAAGAGCTCATGACTCCTTTAGGTTTTAGTTTCCCCTCTCACCTGATCACCTTTATACCTCTTTCCCCCCATAACCCACTTTTTTTTTTACTCCTCTGTACATCATAGATTTTGTCACTTACACATCCTTGATTGAATCTCTTCTGCAGAAGAAAAAATAGAAGACCTTAGAATTTAGAGTGAGATGAAGCCCAGAAAACCCCCACACCTCAATACACAACATCCACCTCTGCCTTCCAAGATAGGTTGGCTTGCCTAGGGAAAACTCAAAGGTCTGAGCCAGGGTCAAAGGAAAGAAAGATTCACACAAGGGGAAGATTCTGTGGGTCTCTGACTCTACAGAGCTATATAGATGTCTAAGGGGATCATAATATTCACAATGAGGGCAAGTAAAAAACAAATGGCCAGTTCTTAAACTCACCATGTGGAAAAGTCATCTGCTTTTTATCCTTGATATGAAGAATCTCTAGAGGGGAAAAGAATCCAGGTCATAAACTGGAAATATAGTGTGACAAGTAAGGTGCTTGCCTTGCATGAGACCAATCCAGGTTCAATCCTCAGCACTGTACTATGGTTTCTGAGCACTTCCGTGAGTGATCCCTGAGCACAGACCCAAGAGTAAGATCTAAGCACCACTGGTCAGGCAAAAAAAAAAAAACTCATCATCTTCATTATCATTCAGGTCGAATTTTTTCCAGAACACTCTTACAGAATCTTTCCCATCTCTTCACCTGCATAATCTCCAAGGCTGCTTTCCTCAGTGTAAAGGGACCCCATGTATTCTCTCACATTCACTCTGATCCTCCTAGAATTTCTGTCAAAACTCAGAAAGACATTCTAAAGAAAATTCCAGAATGTGTATTAATTAATGTGTATTTAGAGATCATTATTGACTTTAACAGAGAATTGCCTGTATTTTTTTTATTTTTAAAAAATTTTTATAAGTGAAACACCATGAGGTACAGTTGTAGACTTACAAATTTTTGTGCTTGGGTTTCAGTTATACAATGATCGAATACCCATCCCTCCACCAGTGCCCATTCTCCACCAACACTGATCCTCCCAAAATCCCTCCCACCCCCCAGCTCCCTCCCCATCCCACCCTACCTCTGTGGCAGGGCACAGCACTCAAAAGGAGAGAGGTAACAAAAGAGAATTGCCTTTAAAAGAAAATCATCTTCCTCCTCCTCCTCTTCCTGAGGAGTGACTACAGTGGACATTCATCTCACTTTCCTGGAATCTCTCCCTTTATACTCTAGGCCTAATTTTTCTTTGTTTTCTGCATGGTTTCAATTATCAAATAGAGAGATATGAAAATTGTCTAACACTCAAGCAAGACTAAATGTTTCTAAAGAAACTAGAGTCCCAAGTGACAGAATAGAAAATATTCCAGAGAAGAAAACTCCAGGGAGAAACACTGCAGCTGAGTCGCCCAGGTAGGCAAAGTCTCCAGGCTCACATCTCTGGACTCTTCTTGGGATGGGGGTGGGCTGAGTCTCCACCCTACCAAAAGGCCCAGCACTCCACTGAACCTGACATCTGCCAGCATAATAAATGGCCCAGCTGAGACTCCATGCTGATGAATTATTCCAGTTCTACAGTTCCTGGTGCATACGACCACAGACAAATTTCACAGAACTGACAACCCAGTAGGAGCACAAAAATTCAGATGGGAAAGTTGTATAGAAACCCAGTAAGCTTATGGGGCCAGAGCAATGGTACAGTGTGTTAGGTGTTTTCCTTGCATGCGCAGACTCAGAACTGATCCCCACCATCCCATATGGTCCCCTGAGACTGTCAGAGGTGGTTCCTGAGTGCAAAAGTCAGGAGTAACCCCTGAGCACCATAGGGTATGGCCCAAAAACCAAAAACAAAGAAAAAAAAGAAAGAAAAAGAAGCCCACTAAGATCCATGAGTGAAAACAACTACACAGAAGGATCAACTAGCACATAATTCCTCAAACAATGACTTTAGTAACACTGATATGAGATATATGTTTTAACAAGCGATATGAAGTAAATTATTTTGTGCCTGTTAAAGGGGCAAGCATTGCGGGGTCACTACCTGGGATGGGAACATTGGTAAAGGAAAGGTCACTAATGTGGTGAAATTGGTATTGAGCCATTGAATACCTGAACAACTGTATTATGAACAACTTTGAAATCATGGTGATTAAATAAAGTTTCAAACTTTTTTTAGGAAAGAAAACTATATCAACCGTGATTTCCAGAGAGAAGAGAGTGACAAGAAAAGAATAATCAAAATTGTGCGAATTATTGATGACTTACATGGAATAAACCCACTCAAAGATAGACTGAGTTTGTGGAGGAATGGTTCTAGGGAGGAGATAAGGAAAGGTCATACATTATTTAAGAAATTTGGCTGTGTGGGTCAGAGGATAAAAGGAGGGAATTTCTGGAGAGGGAGTTTTGAATTCATTAATAACAGTTGGTTTGTGAGAATGCCTTATGCAGTGTCCATTTTGTTTTGCTTGGGGGCCACCCCAGGATTACTCAGGTAATACTCCTGGATCTGCACTCAGGAATCATTCCTAGTGGTGCTAAGGGGACCATATGGGATGCCAGGGATCAAACCTGAATAGGTCACAGGAAGGCAAATATCCTACCAACTGCACTATCACTCTGGCTCCGAGGTTTATGAGATGTCAAAGACCTAAGTGTGTTGTCAAAACAGGAAAGACCCTGGTGAATCAGAGAGTTAAGAAAAGGGTGGGGCAAAAAAAAATCAAAAAGGAGTATGCTGTGAATGTTCCTGTGTGTTTATACACAAGAATGCATAAAAACAAAACAAAGGGGACACCAGTGAAATGAAGTTCACACTAGTGGTGGAGTTGGTGTTGGAGCATTATATGTCTGAAACTCTTATAAAAATTGAAGAGCACCCCACCAGCTAACTCTTGGACCAGTGTTTCCAAGGTGAGTTCAGAAATCAGAACAGTCTATGGAGACAGAGCAAACCTTGATACACCAGGCTGATTGCCTGTATGGAGGCTTGTCCCTAAATCTGCTACTTCTCCCGACAACCCCTTCCCAACCACCCACGGCATTGACCTAAGGGTGTCTCACTGAGAAAATTCATCAACCAACAAGCATCACCTCAAAGAGACTCAACTATGTGGAAGGTAGAACCTTATTCAAGTCCAAAGTGAAGACGTCCTTTACCAGTGTGGGGTGAAGGGAGAAACAGAAACTAAAAGAGAAAAGTAACAGAAAACCTGGCAAACCAGTATCAGGCAGAAGACACTAACAGAGGGCAGGAGGAAGCATAACATGAAGGAATTCCAGAACATCAGTTTTATATTAGCACTCACTAAGGTGTGTAATCTCCGGGTGGATAGGGAGACCCTGGTGGCTCTCCCTCTCACCGACCATATTCAGTGGACTCTGGCCACTCTCCCACCCAGGACAGGCAATGCCATGGGCGGACGAAGGAAGAAACAAGGGCCAAGCTGGTTGATGGACAGTTGCCATTTATTCCATTCGTCCCACGTGCCTGTTCCAGTCTCACTAAGCTCCCCATTCTAGTCTCACAACTACCCCTCATTACCATCTCCTCCTGTCTCTCCCGCTCATCTCTCTGAGCTCCATCTTGCAGCCGCATCTCTCTCTCTCTCTATCTCTATCTCTATGTCTATCTCTACCTCTCTCTCTCTCTCTCTTTATGTCTCTCCAACTATCCAGCATTGGGGCAATGGGGTAGCAGAATTAACATATCAAAGACCCTTCCTGATGGCGCATCAGACTCAAGAGTGGAAATATCACCTAAGGTATTTTTCTCCTTTTCTTAGTTCAATAACTTAATATATTAATTCTACTTCTTAATATTAGTTATTTTGTATGGACACAGTAAGAGATACATTAAGCTTATAGAGTAGCTCTCCTGGGACATCTTGCTACAGACTCAGACTACAGAGCTCAGGCTGGATTAAACATTCCTAACCCTAGCAGGTTCGAATCTAGATATTACCTTTTGGATCATGACAGAATTTGTCCATGACCATGCTCTTAACTTATAGTTAATTATTATGGCACTTTGGTCAGGCCCATTTCGATGCCAGTAGCTCATTGTTGCCCTGGGTCCATCCAGTCCCTTGTCAGGGCCCTGCTTTTGGAGTGCTAGGAAGTAAGGGCGACTGAGGCCGTATGAGAAAAGATGTCCAGGAGTGAATATTGTTCAGTCAATTAACTCCCAAGTTACAAAGGGATAGCATTAACTGTCTTCCTGTGTTCATACAAAAGGGACATTGCTGGGGCTGGAGCAATAGCATAGCGGGTAGGGCTTTTGCCTTGCACGCGGCCAACCCGGGTTCGATTCCCAGCATCCCTTATGGTCCCCTGAGCACCACCAGGTGTAATTCCTGAGCACAGAGCCAGGAGTAACCCCTGTGCATTTCCGGGTGTGACCCAAAAAGCAAAATAATAATAATAATAACAATAATAATAATAAGGGGCATTGCTCTGAATTAACTATGCAAAAAAGGACTTAAGGAAAAGAGAAAAGCAATATTAATAAGTCAACAGAGCACAAAGAAAGAAATTACAAATAAACTCAGAGGAATGGGAGCACTGTGATGGTAGTAACCCAATAAACCAAAGCTACCTGAGGCAAGGCAGTAAGGACAAACAGGTGTTATCCTAGACTAAGGTAAAAACAGATTTGGGTCTTGATGAGTTTAACACAGCTACTACTCTCAGCACAAGCGGTAAGTAGTCGTTCCTGAGGTAATACAATCTACAAAGTATAGTAGTAGTTTCTGGTCTGGTCCAACAGGCTCACTTCCTGTTCCTGATTTAGTTTTGTACAAAGGCCTTAGGCCTTTTTTAAACCCAACAGAACCTGGTCACGATTGCAATTGCTACAGTTTTGTTTGGTTTGGGGTTCCTTTTGATTACTTATTTGTTTAGGGGGTATATAAGCAGTGCTTAGGGCCTACTCTGGCTCTGCACTCTGGGATCATTCCAATTAGTGCTCAGGGGACTGACAATATGGGGATTGAACATGGGTCAGTTACACAGCACACCCTTCCCTGTGTGCTATCTCTCCATCCCCCTGCAGTTTTATTTGTGATTGTGCATTAACATTGGGATGAAGGCAATTTAGGAAGGGTTTTCACTGAGAGGGGTAGGCTTTGGAAAAACAGAGATAGTGGAGATTTGTGTCACAATTTGTCCAGTGCTATAGAAACCTTCATATTGATTCCCTTTTGTCTATCTTAATTTATCTTCCCATGGGAACATAGAAACATTTCAGTAGGGATATCCTTGAAGGTGACTCTGTATGTGTTTGCTTGTGCAGTTTATAGCTGAAAAACGTTTCTCCTCTATCCCTCTTCTTCTCCCTGAAGAAGTCTAGGTTGCATGTTGATAGTTTTCCTTCCTGGAGAAGCAAAGTCCCTCTCACAACAACTCCTTCAGCATCAGCTTACCGCAGCCATCCTTCTTAAAAATCAACTGCTTCGTCTGATACGCCAACACCTTATTCTTTAGTAATTTCATTGACTGTTGTCTCCTCTTGTCACCAGTTACCTGGCCTTGACCCTGAGAGAGAAACCAGGTCATGCAGTATGAAGTACTTATAAACTTAAAGACCAAATTGACCTAGAACTCTCATAAAAATTAACAAGTCCCTTACTGGCCATGAAGACCTGGGACAGCAGTGCTTGGCACAAGGCTAAGCAGAAACCTGAATAAAACAACTCAGAATCTCTCCCTTGGTCTCAAAAAGTCAGAGCACCCTTCAAGCAGATACAACGCACAGATTTAACACCCAAATTTTGGAACAATGCTTGATAAAGTGCATCTTTGTTGGTGTTGACTAAATAGTTCCTAACAGTGTTTTCTTAAAATAAAATATTGTGGTTAAGTGCTGGAGAAATAGTACAGCAAGTAAGGTGCTTATCTTCTATGCAGTTAGGATGGATTCTATCCCTGGCAGTGTATATGGTACCATGAGTTTTGCCAGTCGTGATTCTTGAGCACAGTCAGGAATTAGCTCTGAGCACATCCTGATGCTGGTCTCAAATCAAAATAGATAAATAAACAAAAAACTTAGTGATTGTGATGAGATATAAATCAAAAGTGCTCAAGCATTTTCAAGTTTATTCAAAACATTTCTGCTCAGGGTAAGCACTGAATTTAGGATACTTAAACCATTAGAAATGTTGTAGTGATCTCTCATTACTTTAAGCGGTAAAATTACATTTTAATATGGCACAAAAGTACCAAACTTTAGATTCTCCAGAATTTACCTTTAACCGCTCAATAATTTTCATATATTATCCTATCCATGAGCAGACTGGAATATACTCTCTTCTGAATTAGGTTTTCTTGGCACGTGATAGTGGGGGGAAAGTCACTCCCCTTTGATCCCCCCCCCAAAAAATGTCCTACTGGGTTAGTTGTGATTTTGGAGTTCCCAGTCCCCATTAGGAAGAATATATATATATACCTTGATAAAAGGGGTCTCTGGAATGGAGAGTTTTCCCAACCACTTTCTACCACTTTCAGCACACAGCTGAGGACAGTTGATCAATTCCAAAGTTTTTGTCACCACATATAGATCCTCTCTTCTTTTTCGACATTGTTCCAGAAACTGTGACTCTGGTTTTAAAAGTGGCCTACAGTAAAGAAAGAATACAGGAGTCAACATAGAAAGGGTAAGAAAGACTTCTCAGGTTTATCTTGGTTTTTCTTTTCCTCAGGAACCGAAAGGGAGGCAGAGTCTTTGTACTTGTACAGGTGAGCCCTCAGTCAGTAGCTATATATTGGGTAATGGATTTTGTTACTTAAAACGAGACTATCTTCTCTGATAAATCAGTGGAGAGACTCATACTTTGGTAAGGGTATGAGAGGAACTCAACCATATATCTTGGTTTTCTGCATTTTCCAACATTCTAATTAGTTTTCTTTAGAGGTAATTTATAGATTATTTATAATTTATAAGACTATAAATTATAGATTTCTAACATGAAGTTCTCTCACCGGAAAAAGCTACAAGTAAGTAGATCCAGATGGCTTAGAGAGTCTTTTGAAAGTCTATTGTCAAAGCTAGGGGAATCCATAGCATCACGAGGCACAGGGTTTGTGTGGAGAAGAAACTATGACTGAATGAGCATTTCAGGGCTGGAGCGATAGCACAGCGGTAGGGCATTTGCCTTACACGCAGCCAACATGGCCGACCCAAGTTCGATTCCTCCGCCCCTCTCAGAGAGCCCGGCAAGCTACCGAGAGTATCTCGCCCGCATGGCAGAGCCTGGCAAGCTACCCGTGATGTATTCGATATGCCAGACACAGTAACAACAAAGTCTCCAATGGAGACGTTACTGGGCCCGCTCGAGCAAATCGATGAACAACGGGAGGGGCTTTACCTTTACCTTTACCTCCAAAACTAGTATCAAGTAGAAAAGAGAGGGATTATGGATGAACTAGTCATGGTAGGAAGAGAGAAAGTGTATATTCAGGGGAGAAGTGAGAGGTTTGAATAACTAGAGACAAATTTCAACTTTATTTCAGTTCTTTTGCTCAACTCAAGACCTATTCATGGGTCTGCACAGAAAAATAGCTGGATATTTGGGGACTGAAGAGATAGTACAGCAGGTAAGGGGCATATCTTGGTGATTACCGAGTTTAGCTTGCCTCAAGCATTACCAGGCATGATCCCTGAGCACATAGCCAGTAGTAATCAATGAACACTGCATTATAAGGCCAAACATTTTAGATTATCATAAAAAATTGTGGTTTTGAAATATTTCATAATATTAATGCTATTTACTTTGAAAATCTTTCATTTTAAATCATATGAAAACAAGAGTTTGTTTTGTTAGAAGATCCTGGACATCATTTTACCTATATACATAGAGACAAATTAAAACCAGAATCAAATAAAATAATTAATCCCAGATGTTAATATAGAATTCACTCAAACAATGAATTAGATTTCTTCTCATATTAGTACTTTGTTAATTTCATTTTGTGCATAAAATATTGCTTTACTTAGAATATATAAGAAGAGATAAAGAAGAAAAAGAAGGGAGGGCATCCCATCAAGTAAAGGAATGGCAAATCCCAAGTTTCAAAGTTCCTTATGTTTTTGATGATGATTTTCTTATTCCTCCCACCCCACCAGCCCCATTAATTTCTGTTACTCTTCAATTACAGTTAGTAATTATAATGAAACAAACACGGAGAACAAATCAGTCTAGAATGCCATTTTCTCCATTTCTATGACTCATCTATCAAGGTTGAACAATGCGCCTCTTTATCCTAAAGGATGCATATTTTGCAACCAACTTCCTGTTTTTTTCTATGACAGTCTTACCTTGACTGAAGTTCCGTCAAGGTTTTTGCTGTGATCTCATTAATCTGTAACTTGAGGGTGGATTCATATGACTTGTTAGTTTCCCCTGATGCTGCCCCGTCTGCCTCAACTCCTGCATCGATGGTGAGACTACCCTTTCCTTTCCAAAACACTTTGTCTTCGTAGATGATTGGGTGTTTTCTGGAAAGATCTGCATAGAGAAAAATTAGCCATACATCTGTACAAGATAAGCTATGAATCAGCTGGCATAGGTAATGAAATAATTTAAAATTAAATTACACCAACCCTCCTTCAGATTTCAGTCATATTCTTCAAACTCTTTTCACTTGAGATTCAAAATCTGTCTATATACCAGTCCACGGATCAGCAATTATAACCACGGGTTTTCAACCTTTCTACAACTACAGGCTGAAAATGGTCTACAATTGGAGTTTGAGAACCATGATTCAAATTTTTCAGTAAGGAAGTTAACTAACTAACTAAATCAAATTTATTGATTGAGATATATGTTTGAATCCACCAAGGGCTAAGTAGCAGGGAAAGTGTCCTAAAACCTAAGTAGCATTGATCACTCTGTGATAGTTTAGGAGATCCACGCCATCTCGGTGCCAGGTACCAGGAGACAGACCCAGTTGACAGAACATAAAGTAGAAAATGGGAATCATGACTGGGCAGAGCAGGGTGTGGATCCTAGTTCTACTAGCTCCCATGTGTATAACTAGAAACTAATATTTCCTAAGCTTCGTTTTGTTCTTGCATAAATAAATTCTCATTTGAGATGTTGTATTAAACTAAGTCATATGAGTCTAGATTCATATAACTGTTAAATTATCAGTCTTAGATTTTTATTTCTCATCTTTCATCAAGGCTGAGCCTATTTTTGACCTGTGTGGTGACTTTCACCTTGCATGCTATCCTTACTGCTGACTGACAATACCTGGGACTGGAGAACTCAGGTCCAAGATGTCCAGGAGGGAGAATCCAGTAGGAATGTCAGGCTGGTTCCAAAATGATGAGGATCCATTCTTCTTTTTCCGTACCACATTAAAGCAATGGAATTCCTCAGAATTTATTAGAGCGGGAACTGGTTTTAGATCTCTTTTCCCGAACTGTCTCAGTGAACGCTTTACCACCTCATCAAAGATGACCACCATGTTGCTAACGAAAGAGGTGTGAATACAAAGGGCAAGTATGTCAGAGAAGAAACGTACAGTTAACACTTAATATATATCTTAACAAGTTGTGCAATACTATCTTCAAAGGTCAGAGGAAAAGTTGAATTGTTGCTAAAAGGGACACTAATCGTGATGGGGATTTTTTGCAGTTTTTAAGGGAAAGCCTTCACTGAAAATGACATTGAACAAAAACAGGATTGTCAAAAATATGTTATATGTCATGCACATCTTGAAAAGATATCTTTAGTTTCTGTGTTTAAATAGACTATAGACAGGCAGAAACAAATATCTAGCTAGGTGTGTTGCAATATTGATTGCATTTATCAATGTAAGAACAAATTTCCTTGAGAAGAACACCATAATCTGAGGGGTGTGGGGGGGGGGGGGAACGGTTTCCTCCAGAGAAAAGTGTAACACTGGTAACACAGATTTATGTCCTAGTAACAGCCAAGGAAGCACTAGTGTAAACAGGTACCAGATTTTTCTACTGAGTTGCCTGCCTTAAAAAATGTTTAAAACAATGAAAATAATGTTCTATAAAATCATAAAAACAGTGCACAAGCCACATAAAATTTGTAGCAAGAATATAAATGCTATTTAAAAGCTTCAAATAAATTTAAGGGCTTCAAATAAATCTTAAAAACCTAAAAAAAGTCAAGTTAAAAATTCAACATAGGAATATAAGAGTAAACAAGATATAGTCAATGTTTTCAAAGCTAATTTGAAACTGTGATAGTAGAATACAACCAAGCACAATACCAGTTATAAAAAAGAATTATAAAACATGAAAGCAAAGTAAGATCTTATATAACTAAAGCAATAAAAATCATTGCCATGGTGCTGAGAAATAGTACAGTAAGGAGGGCATTTGCCTTGCACAGGGTCAACCTATGTTCCATTCCTGTCATCCCATATGGTCTCCTGAGCACTGCCAGGAATAATTCCTGAATGTAGAGCCAGAAGTAACCCCTGAGCATTACCAGGTGTCACACAAAAAGCCAAAAAAAAAAAGCATAACCACATTATAGGAATAGAAGAAAGTAGCAGTAACCCTATTTTGAAGGAAGAGTTGCCAAGAATTTGATAAATAAATTAACCACCTAAATACAAGCGGTTCAGAGACCCAAATAAGATTGACCAAACAGACACACACCAAGACAGTATAAATGAAATGCTCAAAACTAAAGATAAAGACACACTACAGAAATTATCTAGGAAAATCAAATGAAATGAAAAAGAATTCCAAAGATTATCCATAGACATTTCTATAAAAACCATCACGGTTACAGTCCTCCCGTTGTTCATCGATTTGCTCGAGCGGGCCCAGTAACATCTCCATTATGAGAATTATTGTTACTGTGTTTGGCATATCGAGTACGTCACAGGTAGTAGCTTGCCAGGCTCTGCCGTGTGGGCAAGATATTCTTGGTAGCTTGCTGGGCTCTCTGAGAAGGGCGGAGGAATCGAACTCGGGTCGGCCATGTTGGCCACTTGTAAGGCAAATGCCCTACCACTGTGTTATCGCTCCAGCCCATACAAGATGGGGAAAAAAATACCAGAAATTCTAAAGGAACAGATTCTTAAAGAATACTCCACACTGCCAGATTCTCACAGAGAGTAGCAGGTTAAAGAATTTCACAGGTAAATAAAAATAAAAGCCTTTAATAACCCTCATATGCCCTTGTGAGAAATACTAAGGAATTGGAGAGCCACACCCAGCAGTGCTCAGAGCTTATTCTTGGCTCTGCATTCAGGGGTCACTCCTCATGGGTACCAAGAAGTATCAAGACTTGAATATGAGGTGACAAGGACTGAACCCAGATCGGATGCATGCAAAGCAAGCACTTTATCCCTATACTATCTCTTATTCCCCTGAAATGTTTAAAGAAGTTTGGAACAATGGGGTCAGGGAGATCATTCAAGAGGTGGAATACCTACATAGAACCTGCGAGGGGTTGAGTTTGATCTTCAGACAACCCCTAGCCCAAACACTACCAGGACTAGCAGCACTGGAGACCCCCAAACCTGTCTTGTGTGTCCCCTACATAAATATATGATTAATTAACTTTTAATAAGAAAAAGACAAAACTTTTTCCATCACCACTTCTGTTTAATTTCACATTAGAAACCATAACAAGAGCATTTGGATAATATCAAGAAACATAAGTAACCCAGATCAATAAAAAAGCAAAATTATTATTGTTTTCAGATGACTTAATAATATATATGGAAAACCCTAAACATTCTATTATAAAGCTACAACAAACAATGTGTACAACAAAATGGCTAGATGTAAAAACAATATACAAAAATCTGTCATATTCATATGTGGGAATAATGAAGGGAAGGGAAGGGAAGGGAAGGGAAGGGAAGGGAAGGGAAGGGAAGGGAAGGGAAGGGAAGGGAAGGGAAGGGAAGGGAAGGGAAGGGAAGAAGGGAAGAGAGGGGGAAGAGAAGAGAAGAGAAGAGAAGAGAAGAGAAGAGAAGAGAAGAGAAGAGAAGAGAAGAGAAGAGAAGAGAAGAGAAGAGAAGAGAAGAGAAGAGAAGAGAAGGTGGGTTGAGGGGAGGAGAGGGGAGAGGAGGGAAGGAAAGGGAAGAAATTAATACAGAAATCCCATTTATAATTGCATAAAATTTCCAAAATAAAGAATTGTGTCTAAAAATAAAATACCAGGACTGCAGTGATAGTACAGTGGATAGGGTGTTTCCCTTGCACGCAGCTGACCTGGGGTTCGATTCCCACCATCCCATATGGTCCCCTAAGCGCTGCCAGGAGTAATTCCTGAGTGCAGGAGCCAGGAGTAAACCCTGAGCATTGCTGGATGTGACCCAAAAAGCAAAAATAATAACAATAATAATAATAAATTGAATACCTATAAATAAATTAAATCAAGAAGGTGAAGAAATTAAATGCCAAAAAACTATAAGACACTGTTAAACTATATAAGACACGATAGTAAGAGATGGAAAGATATCCCATGTACATAAACAAAATTAGTGTAGCAAAAAAAATTAGTCAAAATAAAATCATATTTAATACCATTGCAATAAAAATTTCATTAACATTTTTAAGAAAATAAAACAAAAATACTTAGGTTTCTATGGAAGCATATAAAAACATGGAAATGCATCAAGTAAAATTGTTCATGGTACTGGACTGAAAATAGACACATGGATCAGTAAAATGGAATTTAAATGCAGACATAAACCACACATTTATGAATGTTTAATTCACAGCAAGGAATCTAAGACCTTGCAATGGAGCAAAGATAAACTCTTCAGTAAACGAGTTGAGAAGACTGGACAGCCACATGAAAAAGAGGGTAGCCACATGAGCTATTTTCTAACCTCGTGTATATAAGTCCCAAACCACAAGTCCATAGAAGACAATATAGGTGAAATGCTCCATGATGGCATTACTGTTAGAGTTGTTGTTGAGTTTTGGTCCCAACATCAAGGAAAGCAAAAGTGAACAACTGAAACTGTATTTATTGAAAAGATTCTGTACAAATAATAATAACAATATTTTAAAAATAGTTAAAAGGTATGGACTAGTAAAGCAGGGTGCATGCCTTGCATGTACCTGACCCCAGTGAAGTCTCCAGTACCACCTGGGTCCCAAACATCCCAGAGTAAAGCCCTGGTGGTCACCGAGAGCCACAGGGACTAAGCAGCACCATGTCCTGAATCCCTATCATTCAACCAAATGTCTGGTCGACTGAGAATCACCAAGATTAGCCCCTGACTCTCCTGAGTACTCTTGGGAGACCAAAAATAACCCTTACACTAAACCCTAACACTAAAATTAATAATAAAAAATACACTATGAAAATACAGCCTATTTTTTTAGGAAACTATACAACCTAACATAAAACTAATCGGAAAGTGGGCAGAAGTTTTGAATATACATATACATGGCTATTAGACATATGTGAGCATTAACAAACAGCAGGGAAATGCAGATTAAGATCACAGTAAAATTCCGCTCTATCTGCAAAAATGGTTTTCATTATAACAAGAATAGTCAGTGTTGGAGAGGGTATAAAGGGTATAAAGGGTATAAAGGGTTCTGGTGAATTTGGATATAAATTAGACCATTTTCTTTTGTGAGAGTGGCCTCCCAAGGTGAGTTCAAGAGGCTCAGTGGCTCACCGGGTGATTCACAGTGAATTCAACCACATTTGCTGTGTTGCTGTGTGGCTGTGTTGCTGCTTAAGCCCAGTGATCCCAAGTCACCCCACCAGTACTTCAGACCCACTTGACCCTTCGATTCTGGAAGGCCATGGGGTGCCTAAGATGGAACCAAGGGCAGTCACATGCAAGGAACCTTAACCCCTGTGAAAGCTTTCCAGCACAGATACACTTTGCAAAATGTTATGGAGCTTTCTTAAGAAGCTAAGAGGCCAGCCGGGTATCCTAGAGGAAAGGGCTGTTCAGATAGAGAAGGGAGCACCAAATAAAGGATGTTTGGAGGATCCTCCCAGGAGGGGAGATGCATGTAGAAAGTAGACTATGGACTGAACATGTTTGCCACTCAATGCCTCTTTTGCAGACCACAACACCCAAAAGGAGAGAGAGAACACAGGGGATTGCCCTGCCACAGAGACAGGGGGGATGGGGGGATGGGGGTGGGAGGGATATTATCCATGGTGGTGGAAAATGGGCACTGGTGGAGGGATGGGTATCTGATCATTGTATAATTGAAACCAAAGCACAAAAAATTGTAAATCTACAACTTTAAAAAAAATAAAATAAAGGGAAAAAAAAAGAAAAAAAAATACCTTATAAAATAAAAAAATAAAAAAACAAAAAAAAAAAAAAGAAGCTAAAGATAGGGGCTGGAGAAATAGTACAGCAGGTAGGACACTTGCTTTGCACACGGCCAACCTGAGTTCAATGCCCAGCATCCCATATGGTACCCCCCGAACACTGCAAGAAAGTAATTCCTGGGTGCAGAGTCAGGAGTAACCCCTGAACAT